TCAGTCCAGCTCTCTCCTGCCTCCTTCCAAAAGCCCCTTAGCTGGAATCCAAGAGACCAGACAGAATCAGGGGTCAAGCCCCAGCCCCCCAACAGGCAGCACCACACTCTCTCTCTTCCGGGTGGTCCCTGTTGGTACCCTGTGTCCCCAGCTTCTCCTCACCAGAAGCCCCTTCACTTCTCTGCCCCTCTCAGAGGCCTCAAGGTGCCAGTGGGGCACACAGCACAGCTTCTCTCTCAACTCAGAGGCACTAACCCCAGGACTGACCTCCGACCCCAGCTAGCCCATGGTCACGTGGACCTGTGATGAGTATTCTTATGCAGCAGGCTTAGCCCACAGCCCCAGAGAGTGAAATGTAATCTTGTATGTAATTTTCTTTTTCTTTCTTTTTGAGATAGGGTTTCATTCTGTCACCCAAACTGGAGTGCAGTGGTACAACCATGGCTCACTGTAGCTTTAAACTCCTGGGTTCAAGCAATCCTCCCACCACAGCCTCCTGAGTAGCTGAGACTACAGGTGCACACCACCACACCTGGCTAGTTTTTTGTAGAGATGGGGTTTTGCTAGGTTGCCCAGGCTTGTCTCAGCCTCCTGGCTTGGTCTCCCTGCCTTGATCCTCCTGCCTTGGTCTCCCGAGGTGCTGGGATTACAGGCAAGAGCCACTGCACCCAGCCTGTAAATTTCTTTTCTGTAACAACGTCTGACTCCCCAGACTGTAATCTCCAGACGAGTAAGCAGTTAATTCTTTTCGGGATGTCTACACCCTCTCTTTCTGGGTCCTGAGGTTTATGTAGCATTGGTGTGGGGGATGGGGAGGGGCTCTCAGGCTGCCCCCGAGATGTCCTTCCATTGCCTCTGCAGCCCCTTCCCAGCTTGCAGCTCTGTGCGTGCTTTGGGGAGCGGAGGTGTTCAGCATCTCAAGAGTTGTCTGAGCGCCCCCAGGGTGCTGTCTTCCCTCCCTGGAGTGGGAGCTCCTCACTGGTTTTACATTTTTTTTTTCAATCGCTTTGGGGTACAGGTAATTTTTCTGTTACGTGGATAAGTTCTTCAGTGGTGATTTCTGAGATTTTGGTGGACCTGTCACCTGAGCAGTGTACACTGTACCCAGTGTGTAGTCGTTTATCCCTCCCCCTCCTTCCACGTTCCCCACTGAGTCCGTCACATCATTCTCATGCCTTTGCATCCCCATAGATTAGCTCCCACTTGTAAGTGAGAACATAGGATATCTGGTTTTCCACTCCTGAGTTACTTTACTTAGAATAATGGCCTCTAGCTCCATCCAGGTTGCTCCAAGATGTGATTTCATTTTTTTTTTTTATGGCTGAGCAGTATTCCATAAAGAGGTATATATACACCACATTTTCTTTATCCACTCATAGGCTGATAGGCTCTTAGGTTGCTTCCATGCCTTTGCAATTGTGAATTGTGCGCTATAAACATGCGTGTTAAGTGTGTCTTTCAGAAAACCAAAATCATATCAAGTGTCTTCTCCAACCACAGCAGAATAAAACTAGAAATCCACTCCAAAAGGAAACCTCAAAAGTAAACAAATACATGGAAATGAAATAATCTGTTCTTGAATGATTTGGGAGTTAACAGTGAAATCAAGATGGAAGTTAAAAAAAATTCTTTGAAATGAATGATAATAACACAACTTATCAAAACCTCTGTGATACAGCAAAAGCGGTGTATCAAAAACTCTAGCAGTCATAAAAAAGGATGAGTTCCTGTCTTTTGCAGGGACATGGATGAAGCTGGAAACCATCATTCTCAGCAAACTAATACAAGAACAGAAAACGAAACACCGCATGTTCTCACTCATAAGTGGGAGTTGAACAATGAGAACACATGGACACAGACAGGGAGGGGAACATCACACACTGGGGCCTGTCAGGGGGTGGGGCATTGGGGGAGGGGTAGCATTAGGGGAAATACCTAATGTAGATGATGGGTGGATGGGTGCCACCACCATGGCATGTGTACACCTATGGAACAAACCTGCACGCTCTGCACACATACCTCAGAGCTTAAAGTATAATAATAATGAAATTTAAAAAATGAAAAAACTGGCAGGGCATGGTAGCTCACACCTGTAATCCCAGCATTTTGGGAGGCCGAGGCGGGTGGATTGTTCGAGCTCAGGAGTTCGAGACCAGCCTGGGCAACATGGTGAAATCTGTCTCTACAACAAATACAAAGATTAGCCAGGCATGGTGGCGTGACCTGTAGTCCCAGCTACTCGGGAGGCTGAGGTGGGTGGGCCACTTGAGCCAGGGAGGTGGAGGTTGCAGTGAATGGAGATTGCACTCCAGCTTGAGCAACAGAGCGAGACCTTGCCTCAGAAAAAAACCGGAAAACACCAACCAAAAAAACGTACTATTGGGATTATTTCTATTTTACAAAAATGAGGAACCTTGGTCACTGAGAGGTTAAGAATGGGTGTTGCCTCATGGGGTGCTGTTGTTATGTGGGGCAGGGAACTCTGCTTTGCCAGCCAATGCCCTACCACCTCTGGGTACCCACCCATCATTGTGACTGGCGCGATTGCCCTGACATGTGTCCAGACGCTCCCCCAATGGGGGCAGAGCCACCCCTAGTTGAGAACCACTGGTAACCTGGGAGGTTTCACTGCTGGGTCAGGACTCAAACCCACGTCCTTTTTAGCAGGCCTCTTCCCGGCCTCAGCAGCCAAGCAGACCCAGGACACCTGGGCTGGGGAAGGAGGTAGATGTCTGAGCTCTTCTCTCCCTGAGGTTCTTCCTGCTCCCAGCCTCCTAGGGTGACTGGGGATAGCTGCCTTCTTGCTTCCTCACCCCCTGAGCCCCTTGTCCCTTCCCCCGACCCCCCCCATCCCTTATTTTGCTGTTGGCTTCCTGGAAAGTGTGGTGTTGTCAGACGTCGGAATGTGAGGCCTGGGGCAGCAGAGGGCAGAGGCAGGGGTGGGCTTGCGAAGCCTCCTGTTCTGGGAAGGAAAGGGCGTCATGAGCCCAGGATGGGGCTCAGGGGTGTTGTCACCAGCGAGGGAACAGCCTGGTCCAAACTGTGACAAATAACCCTGCAGGCGGTTGGGCCCCCGCTGCTTCCCCCGCTCCTGAAAACAGATCCCTACCCGGCATGAATGGGAATGAAGCCCAAAGGCCACATCTGCATCCCTGTCCAGGGAGATGTTGATGTGTGTGAGTCTGGAGAATGCCAACTGCCCCCCCAACCTCTGTACCCCCTGCAGTCCCCTGGGCCCCAGGACCACCTCCCAAGTAGGCCCCACACCACAGGGCCCAGGCCACACACTTGTGTGAGCATGCACACACACACACACACACACACACACCACAAACGTACCCCAAGCCTTTCCCCGTCATACACCCCGACTTAGGGGAGATTCCAGCCTCAAAGCTAACCAAGGACTCTGTCATTAGGGGCTCAGGAAGAGTATTTCCCAAACCAAGAGGCCCCCAGATTTTGCCCCCCGCCTCCCCCGTCAGTCTCTCTCCAACCGCCCTCACCAGCATCAGGGCTGTGGGCCCCATGGTGACCTCAGGTGATGTTTACATCTCTGGGCTGTTTATTCCATGAACTGAACATCTGACACCTTTTCAGAGAAATGGTTTTTTTTTTTTTTCATTTGGAACATCTGGAGATAAGCAAGAACATGTGGGACTGCCCGGAACAAGCTGTTCCTCAGATGAAACCTTAATCCTCCTGTCCTCAATTTCTGTGGCTCAGATCCTGGCCTGCACCCCTTGAGAGTGGCTCCTGCCTTGTAAGGTGAGGCCCAGCCCCAGATCCAAAGAGGGACCGCCTAGACCCTCTGCCTTCCAGCCGTGGCATGGGAGGTGGGTCTGCTTCTCCCTAAATCCAGACAGACCTGCCCAGCACAGGCTGGAGAATGGAGGATCGTCGGGGAGAGAGATGGGGACAGAGGGCACTGACAATTTAGCATCGTTTCCTCTCCCAGGGGTTGGGGATGAGATACAAAAAAGAAGCTGCCAGGAGACATAAAACTCAAAGAGGGCTTAGCTGCAGGGCTGTGGTCCACAAGCCTGCTGTGGACAGTTGTGCAGGTTGGGGCCTGCACAAGACTGTCTCTGAAGGGGCTACATTGGACCCAGGGGCAGCCCCAAAGATTTGCTTAGATGAGTTCCTGAGCACTGTGGCTCCATCCAGCACCCTGCAGACAGGGAGGATACAGCTGGAGGACCTGAGTGCTCTCCCACACCAGCCCCCGCTCCCTGCCTAAGACCCCCTGGACCTGCAGACAATTCCATGCACTCAGAATCCCACAGTTAAGAACCCCTGAAGAAGCCCCGATGGCTACATGGTGGGTTTTCTCACAGCTGTCTCCACCTACCTCCACCCTGTTTGGCAGCCCCTACAAACGCTTTCACAGAATGAGGAAGGGAGTCCTCTCACTGGGGCCTGGACTGAACCTTCTCCCGGTGGCTGCCACACTTGGCCTGCTCTTACTCAAGAACCTCTATAGTTCCCATCCTCCACAGGGTCAACTTCCAATGTGGCTGCCTGCACTCCAGCCAAGAGGCTCTGCTCTGGGCCCCTCCAGGTGCCTGGCCTGGGTCTGCGGCTGCCCCCAGCCCCCTGCACTGTCCTTCCTTAGTGCTCCCCTTCCCGCAGGGTGAAGGATAGTTCAGGGCAGAGGAGCTAAGTTCAAGTTCATCCATAGGACAGGTGCCTATTTCGCTCAGGGCCCAGGAATAAAGACCTGCCAGGCTCAGATGGCAGAGGGGAGGCTGGCTGTCCCAGGGGATGACCACCAGTGGGGTAGGCACAGAGAAACAGGAGCACAGGCTGCCCCCAGAAGGCTGGCCCCCAGAGGCATCCACTGAGGACCCCAGTTGTGCTGCTCAAGCTGGGCGACTGCCAAGCCTTAGCGACCCAGCTGACAAGAGCCTGCCCTCCCCCAGGGTCCCCAGAGAGCTGGTGCCTCCCCTGGGTCCCGATTTGCATGGCAGGAAGGGGCCTGGTGAGGAAGAGGCGAGGAGGGGATAGGCGGCAGCCGGTGCAGTTACACGTTTTCCCCCGAGCAGCCTCCGACGTTGTCACGGGCTTGGGGTTGGGGACAGAGCGGTGACCATGGCTGGGCTGGCGTTGTCTCCTGTGCCCAGCCTCTGGCTGGTGGTGCTGCTGCTGCTGCTCTCAGGTACCCAGGACGAGGCCTGTGGGGTCCGCTGTGTCTCCAGCTCTCTGGGCCCTGTGGCCCAGCCCCCCCCTGCTCCACCCTCCTCCTCTGTCTCTCACTTTTTCTGCTGCCTCTCTCTCTCTCATGGCCCTGGGGCCTGGGTCTGTGGGTGTCAGCTGCACATGGGGAGGGGGTCAGGAGTCTGTGGCCCCAGCCCCTCTCCTGCCTGGAGGGCATCAGGCTGAGCTAGGCATGAGAAGCAAACCAGAGTTAGCAGCCAGGACCGTAGAAGAACTGGGCTCAGGAGGAAGAGGCTGAGGGCACTGCCTGGGGGCCGGCAGGGGAGGGGCTGTCCCAACTGGACCCTGGAAGATGCGTGATCCAAATGAGGCCTCCTCCTCTGGGAGATGGAAGAGCCTCCGGGCTGTGACTTTCTTCCTGTTTCTCTTTAAAAAAAAAAAAAAACAACAAAAACAAAAAATAGAGACATGGTCTCCCTTATTGCCCAGGCTGGTCTCAAACTCCTGGCCCCAAGCAATCCTCCTGTCTTGGCCTCTCAAAATGCTGAGATTTCCCTGTCCCGCCTGTCTCATTCAGACGCCTGCTCAAAGCCACCCTGAGGGTCAAAGGCAGAAAGGGGGCTGGGGGCTGGGCCTGGGGGCGAGGTTTCCAGTACCCCCACCCCACTCCTGTCTTTCAAGTACAGGGGGCAGGGAGGACTGCAGGGTCTTGAAGCTGCTGTCATGGAAGGAGGAAGTAGCTCTGGAACCTAGAGGGCATGCAGGGATGGGGCAGCCGGGGGCCAGAGGAGGCCCTGACCTGGCCCCGCCCACTTCCTCCCTCCCAGCAGCTGAGCCGGTGCCAGCAGCCAGTTCAGAGGAACTGTACCGGAATCCCAAAGGTCAGTGGCCTCACCCACCCTTCTGAGGGCAAGTTTGCCTGTGTCCGACTATGGTCCTGTCCTGGGGGTGGCCCCACTTCCCGCCCTTGTCTGATCTCCCCATCCAGGACTCCCATCCCCAGGCCTCCTTAGGATCTCCTGCGAACCCCACCCCAGGCCCGCTGTGATCCTCATGAGACACAGGCTCTCCAGCTGTGGCCACTGAGGGGCTGGGATAAACTCTGGGTCACAGCAGGGGAGCCTGGGGGTTTCTCTGGGGCTCAGGCTTTGGCCTGTCTAGCTGGGGATCTGGCTGAGCCTCGGGTGAGCCCTCCAGGGCAGGGTCACTGTGTGAGGAGCTCAGGGATTCCCAGGGAGCGCTTGCTGAGAACAAGGCAGTCGAAGCTGGAAAGAGCATTCTGGAGCAAGAAGTGGACCCAGTCCCTGCAGGAGGGAAGCGGGGGATGATGGAGGGAAGTCAGGTGGGGGGGTGGGGGTCGACCGAGGAAGGGCTTAGTTGCCAGGCTAGGAGTTTGCCTGTATCCCTGAAGAAACTGAGGAGACTGATGATTTCAGGCGGGTGCAGGGAAGCCCAGGGAAGGGAGGGGCAGAAGCACCAGGCCTGTGTGCCTCCAGGTCCTGGGGGTGTGGCCCAGGTCAGGCTGTTGTAGTGGGCATGGGAAGGAATGGCAAGGTCCCAGCTCTCTTCTAAAGGAAAATCGAAGGGTAGGTGGGGCAGTCGGGAAGGGGCAGAGTCTGAGAGCTTGGCCGTGGCTTCTCACGTGGCTCAGCCTCTCACGTGGCTCTACCTCCTGCCTGTCACACACCCTGAGAAGCAAGGACTGAGCCCAGGGGTTCTGTGCCAGCCAGGGCAGGGGCCTGCTGCAGGGGCTGGCAGTCAGGAAGATGCCAAGAGGAATTCTGAGCCTGGCTTTCGCGCCCACAGGTAGCCCTTGCTCTCAGATCTGGCAGTACCCACGTTTCATAGCAAGGAAACGGGGCTTCACAGTGAAAATACAGTGCCACACGGATGGCACCTCCAGCATCGTGAGTTGGCTCCGGAAGCGGAAGATGGACGAGGAGCCCCAGCAGGTGAACCTGGAACAGGGCCACATGCATCAGACCCAGAACGGCTCTGTCACCACCCTCACCATCCAAGACATCCAGTTTGAGGACAACGGCATCTACTTCTGCCAGCAGGAGTGCGACAACTCCTTGGAGGTCTACCTGGGCTGCGGCACGGAGCTGCGAGTCATGGGTGTGTGCCAGGCGGCTGGGACGCTCCTGTAGCCATCCACCCCGGCCTGCCTCTTGCAGCAATGGCCATGGCCCTAGAGCACCCAGGAAAGCCTCTGGGACCTGGGGGAGCTGCCCTTAGAGTCCTAAAAGGTGGACTCTGACCCAGGCTCACCACCCCCCACCCTGTCCCCACAGGGTTCAGCACCTTGGAACAGCTGAAGCGGAGGAACACGTTGAAGGACAGCATCATCATGATCCAGACGCTACTGATCATCCTGTTCATCATCGTGCCCATCTTCCTGCTGCTGGACAAGGTGATCAGGGGACAGGGGAAGCCTTGGGGGACCATAGAGGAGGCCATTGCACAGGCCAGACATAGGCAGTGTCTCCACTTCCCCAGCTCTTGTTGTGGCCTTTTTGGCCAAGCCCGTCCCCAGAGCCTCCCTGCTGGCTCACCTATTCAATCATTCCTTCCTTCCTTCATTCATTCAGCTGTTCTTGCAAAATGCACCTCACTCCTGACCCCTTACTCCTCATCCCCAGGCCCTCCCCAGCCGGGCCCAGTGGGGGATGGGGCCGGGGGATACTAACACTCTGATCTCCAACCTCTCTGCCCCCAGGATGACAGCAAGACTGGCATGGAGGAAGATCACACCTATGAGGTAGGGAGCAGGGCAGGCCCCGCAGCTCTGAGTCCTTGGGTCAGTGGCCGCTATCTGCTGGTGTGGTCAGGGTATGGCCCCAGCCTGACCTCTACTTCATGTCTCCAGGGCCTGAACATTGACCAGACAGCCACCTACGAGGACATAGTGACGCTGCGGACGGGGGAAGTGAAGTGGTCTGTGGGTGAGCACCCAGGCCAGGAGTGAGAGCCAGGCCCTCCCCACACCCTGCACGCAGGCTCCCAGGCCTCGGTGATTGCTTTGGAGCTTCCTGGCTCCTGGCCCAGCCCCCTTCCCAGACCCGCAGCCAGCCTCTGAAGCTGGCCCACCAGAGCTGCCACTCATCTCCAGGCCCTGGTCCCCAGCTCTTGCCAAAGGGCCTGGAGCAAAAGGACGACAAGGCAGCGACCTGGAGGGAATTCTCTGGGGATGGATGGGACCCAGCCTCCTGGGGGTGCTATGAGGGGATCCGTCCCCATGCGTAGGATAGGGGAGGCAGAGACTGGTCCAGAACCTGGAAATGGACTCGGAGCCAAGGGACTCCCAGCAGAGCTTGGGAAGAGCCGTGGACCCGACTGGGCCCCAGAAGAGCCACAGGAACATTGTTCCTGTCCCGCAACCACTCCCACCCCAGGGGGCGCCTCAGCCTCAAGGCCCTTTCCCCATGGAATAAACGATGTGTCCTGAGAAACCACACACAGGCTCGTGACATCTTATGGGTTTGGGGTGAATAGGAATGTCTGTGTAGGCACTTCTGTTGTTTGAATGTGGCACCTGTGAGCCCTCGAGGGTGTGGGAGAGGTGACGGCCACCCCTTCTCTCTGAAGACCCAGTTGGAGCCTGTGATCACACCCCCTTTTCTTCCCCCTGGAACTGGGGGCTGCATGCCAGGCCCTGGCTGGACCCAGAGTAGCTGGCGAGTGACTGGGCCTGTCCTTCCCCTCAGCAGGAACGCCCTCACCCTGCACTCCATTCAGCCAACAAGCAGTAACTGAGTCCCGCTCTGCCTCCACCTACAGGAAGCCCTCCCAAAGCACCTGATCCCTGTCCAAGCCCTATTCAGACCAGCCTAGGCATCAGTGACTTAGCTACTGCCTTGTGCTACTCACTCTGGCCTTGGTTCTCCAGTCAAACTGGAAGCTCCCTGAGGGTAGAGGTTTCCCTGCCTCTATAACACTCCACTGCCACCCCCAAGGGGCCTAGGAAAGCTTGATGCAAAGCCATCAAGAGTGAGATCTAAAGAGTGAGGCTTTGTATGGTGAAGCTTTGGGGCTCTTAGCCATGATACCCCTTCAGAAATTCACAGTTTCACATCAGAGGTCCCCTATGTTCCCAGGGTCCTCAAATAATGGCCCCTAGGGCCCTCCAGCCCACTAGCTGTGGGAGGTCCTAGGAACAGCTCCCACCTGGGAGGCCAAGTGCGATCAACCTGCATGTGCAAACCCCCCTCCCAACAGGCTGTGCTCCACTTCCTGTTGACCCTGGAGGGAATCCTTCGAAACCTCTCTGCTGCTCCTGCTCTGAATTCCCCTATGGAATTCATAGGGAGACCCTATGCTTGGGGAGCTGCCAGTTTAACTGGCGAATCAAGGTTAGCACACGGAAACTAGTGAGAAAAGTGCCAATTTTCACCAGATTGCCTCTGGAATTCCAGGTGGGACCGGTGGGGCAGGCACCCACACCTGCGGTTTCAGGTCAGTCTCTCCACCGCCCTGGGTCAGGCTGGGCCAAGCCGGGCAGGCCTCGTGTTTTCTCCGGTCTCTGGGCCACTGTAGGGAGCCAGGTTGTTTTGGCATCAGCCTCTACTGAGCCGAAGCCCTTCCTTTCCTGCTGCTTTGCATAGCGGCACTAATTGCGTCCTCCTACCTCCACCAGGGACCTAGGCAGCCGGGTAGGAGATGGGAGGAGGCTTCATTTCTCCCCCAGGCAGGGTCTCCCCCTGCTTGAGGCTGCCCTGGGTTTGGGGAGGCCTTGGCTTTACCTAAACACTTTTTAATACCTTTGAACAGCTCAGTTTCCCTGAGACTTATTTTATTATTATCTTTTTTTTTTTTCTTGGAGACAGAGTCTCTGTCGCCCAGGCTGGAGTGCCATGTTGCAGTCTCGGCTCACTGCAACCTCTGTCACCCAAGTTCGAGCAATTCTTCTGCCTCAGCCTCCTAAGTAGCTGTAATCCTGAGTAGCTGGGATTATAGGCGCACACTGCCATGCTCGGCCAATTTGTGTATTTTTAGTAGAGACAGAGTTTCACCATATTAGCCAGGCTCGTCTTGAACTCCTGACTTCAAGTGATCCACCCACCTCAGCCTCCCAAAGTGCTGGGATTACATGCATAAGCCACCGCGCCCAGCCTGTTCTCGTTAACAGAAAATCATCTGAGCATAGGCCTTGGCCTCTCCACCAGACACCCCCAAAGGGCTTGACTTCATGGGTTTAATGTAGGAGCCCTCCCTGGTTTGTTTTTCTGTTTTAAGGGCTCTGGGAGACTTCATGTCTGTCTTGTGCACCCCCAAAACTCTCATAGGCAATGGAAACATAGCTGGGTACTGATGGTGGGGACAAGAGACATCTCAGGTCTCAGTTGCTTTATCTGCAAAATGGGAATCTTAAAGCGCATCGGAGGGAAAAAATTTGGGCCAGACATTGTTTTGTAAAAAAAATCATCACAATAAAATTGAGGGCCAGGTGCGGTTGCTCACACCTGTAATCCCAGCACTTCGGGAGGCCAAGGCAGGCAGATCACCTGAGGTCAGGAGTTCGAGACCAGCTTGGCCAACACGGTGAAACCCTGTCTCAAAAATTAGCCAGGTGTGATGGCAGGCACCTATAATCCCAGCTACTTGGGAGGCTGAGGCAAGAGAATAGCTTGAACCCAAGAGGCAGAGGTTGCAGTGAGCCAAGATCATGCCACTGCGTTCCAGCCTGGGCAACAAGAGCAAAACTCAGTCTCAAGAAAGAAAAAAGAAATGACTTTGTTTCCTTTGGGTATACATAATTTTAGCAAATGTATAGATTTGTATCACGACCACAAAATCAGAACACAGAATATGAACCGAAAGCTTTTATTGGGTTCAACAAATACATATTGAGCACCTCTTAAATGCAAGAAAAATGGATTGAACATATCCATCTTCATTTACACTCTGCCTGATGTCCCTGGAAGAGGGTCACACTATCTGATTTTTACAAACAAGGAAAACAAGGCCCAGGGAATTTGCCATTAACTGGCCAGAATCACACCTAGACCTTCTGACTCCAAATCCAGCATTTTCCCGACTGCACCATGGCCACCTCTCTTGAAGGGCCTTGCAGCAGTAAGACCTCAAACCTAAGGAGGAGGAAAAGGAGGAGGAATCCAGGGACAACTTTGGCTGTCTTCAATGTTTGTGATTTGAAGGGGATTTTCTTTTCCCATGTTCACAAAGTCCAAGGCCCCAAAGGCCCTACCCCTTCTTACCAGGGCCTAGTAGGGGGCCTCTGAGCACCCTCCAGAGGAAGCCACTGTGCCATCCTTCCAGGATCCCAGCTCTGCAGCTGTCCCCTGCCCCCCCCTCCCCAGAACGCAGCTCTGAGGCCCCTGGTGGGCACATGCCCCATTGCCCACTGGGGGAATCCAGCTCCTCCCAGGGGACCCTGGTTGAAGCACAGGTGGCTCCTCCTCCATTCTAGCTTGACTTCCTGCCCTCTTGCTGCAGGTGCTGCTTAGGGTTGGGGTGATTTGACCAGAGGTTTTGGGTGTTTTTCCAGCAGAATCAGAGGTGAGAGAAAAACAAAACACAAAAAACTGTGGCTATTTGGGTGCCGTTGGGGTGGCAAGAACAGGTAGTGTTCATCTCTTAGTAAGTATCTGGCCTGGCTGAGGCTTCTCTGAGAGGCCTCTAAAGTCATCTCCGGGCCAGGAGCTGTGGCTCATGCCTGTAATCCTAGCACCTTGGGATGTCGAAGCGGGTGGATCATATGAGGTCAGGTGTTCAAGACCAGCCTTGCCAACATGGTGAAACCCTGTCTCTACTAAAAATACAAAAATTAGGCTGGGCACAGTGGCTCACACCTGTAATACCAACACTTTGGGAGGCTGAGGCAGGCAGATCACCTGAGGTTGGGAGTTCAAGACAGCCTAGAGAAACCTCATCTCTACTAAAAATACAAAATTAGCCAGGCCTGACGGCAAATGCCTATAATCCTAGCTACCCAGGAGGCTGAGGCAGGAGAATTGGTTGAACCTGGGAGGTGGAGGTTGCAATGAGCCAATATCATCCCATTGCACTCCAGCCAGGGCAACAAGAACAAAACTATCTCAAAAACAAAAACAAAAATTAGCCAGGCGTGGTGGCATATGCCTGTAATCCCAGCTACTCAGGAGGCTGAAGCAGAAGAATCGCTTAAACCTGGGAGGGGGAGGTTGCAGTGAGCTGAGATCATCCCACTGCATTCCAGAGTGGGCAACAGAGCGAGACTGTCTCAAAAAAAAAAAAAAAAAAAATGCCGTCCCAGAACGTGGTATTTGCGATCCCTGTCTGCTCTCTTTGGTTGACCTCAAGAAGTGGATTCGGAGCCCACATCTGTGACATTCCTGGGTGTGTCCCAAGTCTCCAAGCTGTTCCTGGCATGTCATCCTCTGGTCCTGCCATTGACTCAGCTGCAAACAATCACAAACCTTCCTTTTGGGACACCTGCCTCTCCCACCCAAAGCCTTTACTTAGAAACAGGTGACTGCAGAGAACAAAAATTAATGAACATTATCTCCTAACTTAAATCAGAGTATAGTTTGTTAAAACACACTAGGCTTTTAAAGGCATTCCCACTCCCAGCAGACCTAATATTTTCCACACGTGGCAGGAGGGGAAGTAGGGAGTTCCAGTTCTGTAAGTTGTGAGTCCGTATAGAACATTCCTGGGGAGTGGGCATGGTGGCTCACGCCTGTAATCACAGCACTTTGAGAGGCCAAGGCAGGTGGATCACCTGAGGTCAGGAGTGCAAGACCAGCCTGGGCAACATGGCGAAACCTAATCTCTACTAAAAACACAAAAATTAGCTGGGCATGGTGGTGCATGCCTGTAATCCCAGCAACTGGGGGGGCTGAGGCAGGAGGATCACTTGAATCTGGGAGGCGGAGGCTGCAGTGAGCCAAGAGTGTGCCGCTGTACTCTAGCTGGGCAACAGAGCAAGACTCCATCTCAAAAAGAAAAAAAGAAATTCCTGGGAACTTGAACACACTGCCTTGTCACCTTGTGCATTTAATTTTGCTCATGTACATATTGCCATACATTCAAGTTCCTGTCATTATTTTATTTATATTTTTATTGTATTTATTTATTTATTTACTTACTTATTTTTTGAGATGGAGTTTTGCTTTTGTTACCCAGGCTGGAGTGCAATGGCATTGGCTCACTGCAACCTCCACTTCCTGGGTTCAAGAGATTCTCCTGCCTCAGCCTCCCAAGTAGCTGGGATTCCAGGCACACACCACCATGCCTGGCGAATTTTTGTATTTTTAGAAGAGACAGGGTTTCACCATGTTGGCCAGGCTGCTCTTGAGCTCCTGACCTAAGATGATCTGCCCACCTGGGCCTCCCAAAGTGCTGGGATTACAGATGTGAGCCACCGCCCCCTGCTCTGTCCTTGTTATTTTAAAATAATTATACCAGTAGGAGGATGTCCAGACACAGCATGGGCTACCTGGCCATGCCCAGCCA